TGTTTCTGTTGAAAAAGAGTTTTTATCATTTAAAGGCACTTTCATGAGTATAAACCACCACCATCATCTTCTTCGACACATAATTATGCTGTGACATTTTTTAGTATGTAGATTGTAAGATTGTTTTGTCGTTGAAAGTTCATATGCTATAATAAAAATGTGATATCATTGCATGGATGTAAAATCTATATGTCATAAGCTTACAATAATAACACAATGTCAAATGCTTGGGTTTAAAAATAAATTGGTATAATGAAATATTACTCACAATTCATATAGCACAATATAGAAGGCTTCATTTGTATATATTTATTGTCAAATTTTTTGAGATGCCTATCATGCAATTGTATTGGGTTGTATATAAAGTATTGCAAATTTGACAACAACTAAAATGATGTTTTGCCATTTGACAACTTGAGCAAGAATTGATAATACCCATGTTATACCCACATAATTCATAGCCATGTTAGTTTGAATGTACTTTATATGAAGGAAAATGGTAGTATGTACCACTTTAATATGGATTGACAAGCTATACTTATGCAATGTGGGTTGAAAAATTTAAAGATAGCTTACTAAGAAGTCCATTGTCTTCATTTTTATAGTCTTGAGGGTCATCCTAGTGCTAAATATAACAGGATTGTTGAATCCTCTTGAATGTATGAAACTTTCAAATGACTATTATAATGTAAATTTGATCAAATATAAATACTATTTGCATTGATATGTGGGATTACCTTATAAATTTCACCCTTTTCACTCTCAATGTTTGATGCATCTTCTTTTTCTAATAAACCTTAGAAAGATAATAAATACATTTTTGTTAAATACGAAGATAAAGTCTTATAGAATTGGAGTATTTTATTTATCACAAAATAAATCATAGAGTTAGTGAAAAATAGAAAAATTAAGTATACCTTCTGGAATAGAGCAATAGAACATGAACTACTATGGACAACACTGTTACAACATAGATACTGACTAATCCCTAAGTTAACAAACACAAATCAAAGGCCAAACACACAAATGGTTATATATACATACATTTGAGTTGTAAGCACAAATGGCTGACACCCATGTTTGTGCTATCCATACCCATTTTATGGCCATCTGAAAGCTATGGCCATTCAAAAACTGACACTGGCCAATGGCATAAGAACACATGGCAATGGGCATGCCAAGTGGCATACATCTTTGTGGCATGTGTGAAAACAACTACATTTACAATTTGCACACTATAAGACTTGGACTTCTATAGGCATGAACAATGTATAACAAACTTTTTTTCTTGTGTAAGATGAAATTCAAGTTGTATTACCTTGATCTTTTTGTCAAGAATTTGATTCAGAAAACATCCATAAACTACCAAATCCATAAAGAAGTTCAAAAACATCAGCTATTGTTGGTCCACCTTCCATTCTTGAACTACAATTTCCAAGTGAAATAGAATCAAAGAATATACTAGGCATTTTGTATTTGGAAGTTTCAATAAAGTTTACCTGTCATCATCAAATCGTGACCGTCGGATACAGAAAATAAAAGAGGCCGTCAGATCGTACGACGACCCACAGATTTCCCTTGTCATACCGTATCGAAAACAAAGGCCCCAGGCCGTCCACGTCACGCCTGTAATCAGAAGCCTCGCTCCCATTGGCCGCCATTCTTGATTGGGCCTGAGCTGGCACCGTGCCCAACGGGATATTTCCGGCCACTCGCGCCACAGTCAGCCACCCCCGCCATTTTGGTTCCGTGGTCGTTGCTGGCGTTACGCACATGCACATCGCGCCGTTAGCTCCATCCCGATCTGGACGGACGCGGGCGCCCCCACGTCATCAGCCTTCGCCTTTAAGGCATTTTTCTCGAGGCCGGGTATAAGTTTCTGAGGGTGGAAATTATGTTTGGCCGCGCTTCTTTCTGGTGGAGCGTCTCGTCCTCGACGGCTATGGCGGACGATCTATAGCCACGGCAGCCGCGTGAATCCCTGGCTCGCAAGAATTCGAGCTGAGATTTGGATGATTCTTGGCGCCGCGGCGGGATAGGTAAATATTTCTCTCCACCAGGAGCAGCGGGAAGGAATTTCGATGATCCGGGATTCGCAGCTAGGGATTGGCGAGGATTGGAATGGAAATCTTGGCGGCATTTGTCCTTGAGACGAGATTTTAGGCGCGGCTGCTGGGCTCGGGTATGGATGTAGCGCGATCAAGAGCAATGTGTATCAAGAAGGAGCCGATGAGTTTCTCGTCCGAGCAGCAACAGCAGCAACAGCAGCAGCAAGGGCCGCGGCTGTTGGCGGATAAGGATTTCCAGTGCCCGATTTGCATCCAGACGATGAAGGATGCGTTTCTCACGGCTTGCGGCCACAGCTTTTGCTACATGTGTATCATCACGCACCTCAACAACAAGAAGAACTGCCCGTGCTGTGGAGTCTACCTCACTAGCAGTCAGCTTTACCCCAATTTTCTATTGAACAAAGTAAGTTTTCCCCTCTTTCCTTAGATCTTTTCTTGTTCTTTTGTTTTTACGTTGTTCTTCGTGCTAAATCTAAAAAACCAATGGTCTTTCCATGCAGATACTTAAGAAGGTTGCTACGTCGCAAATCTCGTGTGCGTCCCCGACAGAGCAGCTTCGTTTTGCTCTACAACAGGTTTGTGGTCTTCTTTGCTATAGCGTGATTTCGATTCTTTTTTCCCACAGGGCGTCGACGTTCCACTCAAAGAGATCGATTCATTGCTGGTTTTGTTGAGCGATAAGAAGCGAAAAGCCGAGCACGAGGAAGCCGAGGTGAACATGGAGGTTCTTCTCGAGTTTTTGCAGAGATCTAGGCAGCAAAAGATGGAAGAACTTTCTGAGGTCAGTTGTCGTGAGTCATTTGGGATGACACCGACCAGAGATTTGTAAGATGAGCAAATGCTAACCGTCTTGTTTCTCAGATTCAAGGGGACTTGCAGTCGCTGAGGGAGGACATCTCTACTGTTGAGATCCAGAGGCAGGAGCTGCTCAAATCGAGACAAACAAGCTCGCTGAAGTGGCGCTTTCTTCTTGACTGCCCGGCTCTCGACTGTCCGGCTCAAGAGAACCCGTACAACCGTCCTGCGGTTCCCTTGCATCGTGTCGGCCAAGCAGGGGCAGCCTTGCTCGGTGGAGAACAAAGGAAAGCAACGAGAGGTCCTCTCGTGAAGAAGAATGGTGGCACTTCAAATGGTACCTCTGACTTTGAACCGCTGCCTTGTAAGACCGCAAAGAAAAAGAGGATGCTAAACCAGGTATGGTGTGTCTCAGTGCAGTGAAAGTGGCGACTAATGTTATGTTCTGGATCTGATCTGACAGTTTGAAGACTTGCAAGATTGTTACTTGAATAAGAGACGACGTGATCGTCAGATGAAAAAGTTTGAAGCCATTGTTAAAAAGGAGAAAGACGAAGAAGCCTGTGGTGGGTTTAATCAACCTTCGGGCCTTGAGGACTTTAGATCCATTCTCGCTGGCTTCACCAGATATAGGTACCTTCACTTTTCTTCTTTTCTTGAAGGTTTTTCTCAAGCTGGATTTTTGCTTAGTCGTTTGGAGCTGGTGGCTGAGCTACGACACGGAGACTTATTTCATTCTTCTAACATTGTTTCAAGGTGAGGTCTTCAATTATCTCTAGAGTTTCTAACACCAGTGGTGTATTGTTTTCAGTATTGAATTTGACAGGGACGACGAACTATTTGCCACTGCAGGAGTTTCGCGGCGAATCAAAATTTTCGAATTTGCAACGGTATGTGAGCATGTGATTTTTGTTTTCTAATACTTTGTTTTTTCTAACAGGTTGTCAACGAGCTTGCAGACGTCCATTGTCCTGTCGCCGAGATGTCTACGCGGTCAAAGCTAAGCTGCCTAAGTTGGAACAAGTACATCAAGGGACAAATCGCGAGCAGCGATTATGAAGGCACTGTAACTGTTTGGGATGTAAATTCTTGCCAGGTAGTTGTCTCTTGGGAACTCTTTCTTTGCTTGTTTGTTTACTTTTGTACGTTTCTCCTTGCAGAGTGTCATGGAGTACGAAGAGCACGAGAGAAGAGCCTGGAGCGTCGATTTCTCCAGGACGGACCCGACAATGCTAGTGTCTGGGAGTGACGACGGAAAGGTAGTGTTTTATTATTACTTACACACCCGAATTCCCTGTTTGTGTTTTTGACGCACAGGTCAAGCTGTGGTGCACCAGGCAGGAGACAAGTGTCCTGAACATTGACATGAAGGCAAACATTTGCTGTGTCAAATACAATCCCGGATCTAGCAATTTTGTCGCGGTATTTCTTTCAACTAGCAAAAATTCTTGTTGTGTTTGACAGTGCCTTGGTTTACTTTTTCTAGGTGGGCTCGGCCGATCATCATATCCACTATTACGATCTCCGGAACTCCAAGTCGCCTCTACATGTCTTTAGCGGCCACCGAAAAGCCGTCTCGTATGTAAAGTTTGTATCGCCCAACGAGTTGGCCTCGGCTTCCACTGACAGTACACTGCGATTGTGGGACGTCCAGAAGAGCTCCCAGGTATGCATATCTCTACAGCTCTTTAGCTCGAAGGTTTCCTGATCGATCAAATCAAACACCGTGCTTTGTCTATGCAGATACGCAGCCTCACAGGCCATGCTAACGAGAAGAACTTTGTAGGCTTGACAGTTAACAGCGAGTACATTGCGTGCGGTAGTGAAACGAACGAAGTCGTGGTGTATCACAAAGTAAGTCCATTTGATTGATTCTAGAGAAAAAGAGAATCAATCTGAGGCTTTTGTTTGTTTGTTGCGAGCAGGAAGTTCCCAAGCCAGCAGCAAGGCACAGATTCACAAACCATGACTCGGAGGAGAGCGACGACGATGTGTTCCACTTCATCAGTGCTGTGTGCTGGAAGAGCGATAGCCCAACGATGCTTGCGGCAAACAGCCAAGGGACGATCAAGGTTCTGGTGCTTGCTCCGTGAAAAACGACGAGGAAGGACGACTTCCCTGTACAATCTTTGCTTAGACAAGAGAACAATAGCAAATTTTGTAGCCATTGCTAGAAAAATAAGAAAGATGATGACGAAGAAACCAACATAAACTTATCGCTCCAATGGAAAGCTCTCAAGTGTTCCAATGGAAAGCTTCCGATGGATACAAAACCATGCTCTTACCAGGAAGAATTGCAAGTTTCGAATCACAGCTGAAAGACCTCGTAAGGAATCAAGAATTTTAAGTCTAGAGCTTTACGTACCGTGCTCTTCCATGCTCGATCTCCAGCAACCACAGCACCTCCAAAGTTGAAAGAATTTAAGTTTGGTTTCGATCTCTAGGAATCACAGCTGAAAGAATTGGAAGGAATGAAGAATTTCAAGTCTAGAACTCGAAAACATACCGTGCTCTTTCTTCCTTGGTCGATCTCCAGGAATCACAACGCCTCGCCCCACACTCCCAGCGCAGCGTAAACGTTGGACAGCAGCACGTAAGGTGACTCGTCCGCTGGATCCAGCCCAGACGCTTGCTCTGCCGCGGCGCTTCCCAGCTCCAAGTCCTCGTGGACGCAGCACGCTGATAGCAAAGCCAAGAACACCGCCACGTCTGGGACAAACGGCATTGTGTTGATCAGCTCCAAGGCTCTGTCCAGCATTCCAAGCCTTGCCAGGAGATCAACCACGCCGGCAAAGTGATCCTTCGTTGGTTCCAGGCCGAAGTCACTTGCTATAGCTGCGAAGCACTCTCGGCAGTCGTGAACGTCACCTTCGTGGCTGTAAGCGGACAAGAGGCTGGCGCAGCTGCTAGAATTCGGCCTCACTCCATCCAGAACCATCAGCTTAAACAGCCGGATCGCCTCCTCGCCTTGTCCGTCTTGCGCATAGATTGCAATGAGAGAACTCCACGATATCGTGTTCTTCAACCTCAACCTTCTGAAGCAATCTCTTGCGTCGTCCAGGCCTCCACATCTGCCATACATGCTTATCACAGCATTGGCCAGAGGAACGTTGGAGTTGAAGTAGCCACTGTCGGAAACCCGAGCGTGGATCTCCCTGGCCTTGGACAGCACCATGACGCCCCCGCAGGCATGAACGACGGCCACCAGAGTCACAACGTCGGGCTTCACACCTTCCAAGTCCATGAACTGGAAATGCTTGATTGCCTCGTTGCAGTGACCGTGTTGAGTGTAAGCAGCAACCATAGCAGTCCAGGAGATTGTGTTCCTGTCCCCCATGCCTCGAAACACGTCGATGGCACTCGCCAAATCTCCACACTTCGTATACATGTGGATGAGGCTGTTGCTGACGATCACCACCGAGCAGAAACCGGAGCTTTTGATTCTCGAGTGCGTCACCCTTCCATTCTCCAAGTCCAGGAACCGTGTGCAAGCTTCGACCAGCGTCACGAACGTGACAAAGTTGCGCTTGACACCTTCCACGTCCATCTTGCGGAACAGCTGAAGAGTCTCTGCGTGCTGTCCGTTCTGAGCATAGGCAGCAGCCATAGACGTCCAACTGATCACATCGGTCTCTTGCATGCCGTAGAACACTCGCTCTGCCCAGCCACTGTCCCGGCACTTCCAGTGCATGCTGATCAATGCGTTCCCAACAACGAGCTCGCAGCCATGTCTAGCTTCCACAACCCAGGCATGAACTTGTCTTGAGAATGAAATGTCTTCCAGACCAGCAGCAACGTTGACAACCGCTACAAGAGCAGCCTCGTCTGGCTTCACTCCACCCAGCAGCATTCTCCGGATGAGATCCAAGGCGCCTCCAAAGTCCCCGTTGCGGGAACTTGCTGCGATCACCAGCGTCCACGAGAAAATGCTGGGCATCTCGATCCCCTGGAACACCGACAAAGCCTCAGAGAGGCTCCCGCACCTGCCATACATCTCCACCAGGAGATTTTGGAGAAAGGTGACATGCCCCCAGCCATCCGAGACAAGTTGCGAGTGTACACACTTTCCCTGTGCCAAAGTTCCTTCGCCGGAACATTCCCTTATGAGAGATGCATATCTTTCAATTGCTTGCCGCTGTGACTCCTTTTGTTTTGCTTTGAGGTTGTCTGCAACCAAAGATCCTCCGAAGGATACTGCATCAACCATAAATTTCGGAGTTAGATGACCAAGAAACAAACGCAATGCTTAATTCCACTTCTCACCTGTCTGGTCAACACCATCATGGCTCACACTGTCTGTAAGGCCAGTTTTCATGCAAAGTTTCTGCACTCCTACCTCTGTTGTGAATCCACCAACAACAATGGATCCAGCTTTGTCCCGGGACGATATAGAGTCCAAGACCAAGGATGCTGCAGCTGTGCAAGCGAACTTGCTTAGTCAGATGATGGAGCTCAACGGCGAGACCGAGTACCTGCGAAGGTATGGAGGCCGCTTCGACAGCCTTCTCATCATCGAATACCACGACGTTGCAGACGACATCCAGCGCATTGCCAATGGCGACACTTCTCCCATTCTTACTGCCGAGCCAGTCGTCCGTTTCTTCACGAGGTACGCTGCGACAACGTTCTTGTGATGAGTCCAATCTCGTGCTTTTTTCCACGAATAGCAGCTCCGGCACAGTCAGTGGAGAACCCAAACTCATTCCTGCTACTTCGAAGTCTCTCGAGCTGCTATTCCGTCGGTATCCGTTGCTGAAGGCTTGTGACTTTGCCACTATCTGGTTGTCTGCAGGCCGGTATATATGATGGAGTCCGATGTGTCTCGGCTTTTTGTTTGCAAAACCAGAAAACAAGAGCCCTGGCGGCCTTCCAGTATCGACAACCTCCTCAATGTCCTTCAAAGTCCAAGGTGAAAATCTGAAGAAAATGTTCACCAGTCCCATGGAACTTCTTCTGGCACCTGATATCAACCAGTCTTTGTACTGCCACCTGCTTTGCGGCCTCATTCGATCCGAAGACGTCACTCAGCACTGGCTATAACACTGGTAGAAGCGCTTCGATTGTTGGAGGAGGCGTGGAGCGAGCTAGCTGATGACGTCCAGACCGGAACTCTCAACTCGAAGATCACCGACCCGACCTTGAGAAGTTCCTTGTCGCTCTGCTTACGGCCAAATCCCAAGCTAGCGCAGAGTATTCGCAAGGAATGCACAGCCGATAACACATGGTGCGGTATTGTAGAGCGCTTGTGGCCGAAAAGCAAGGTTATAGTGACCATCACCACGGGAGGAATGGCACCGTATGCTCTTGCTGTAAGAAAATATGGAGGAAGCGTTCCCATAGTTTCTGGAGACTACGTCTGCACGGAGTGCGTTCTCGGCTTCAACCTGGATCCATTCTGTCCACCTGAGAGCGTCAGCTTCACCATTCATCCGGAGAATGCATACTACGAATTCCTCCCCTATCCCCAAAAGCTACAGATCCACCGTGAAGCTCGTAGACGTGAAGGTTGGCGAGGAATACGAGCTCGTTGTCAGCACCTGGTCCGGTAAATGTAGAACAATCCGTCTGTTCACGGAAGTTGTCTTTCGCAACCAGGACTTTATCGGTACAAAGTTGGGGACATCGTCCGTGTAACCGGGTTCCAACTCCTCTCCTAACATATCGTTCGTCCATCGTCTCAATGCGGTGCTTGATATGGCAAGAGAAAGAAGCACTGAAGCCGAGCTACAGGTAGCAGTCCAGAAGTCTCAGCACTGCCTGCCTGCTTCACAGGAGCTCGTCGACTTCACTTGCCACCACGACGGCCAGAGGTACATGATCTTCTGGGAGCTCAAGAATGGTGCTAGCCTGAATCCCATAATCCTGGAAACCTGCTGCTGCGTTCTCGACACCTCACTGACCGAGAGATATAAACAGCGTCGTGAGAACGGCTTGATCGGTCCACTTCGGTTATGCATCGTCCGTGGTAAGACATTCAAGGCTCTCCAACAATACAGCCTTGAAAAGGGAACAAATCCCACTCAATATAAGACCCCGAGATGCATCACCAGTCCAGAGATGATTTCCATCCTACAAGAAGGTATCACACAAGATTGCCAGACTCCTGCATAAAGAGTATGGCCCGTATTAGAATGTTCTAAAATGGATCTCAAATCTTACGTTGAATGTTGTCACACTCAAGCCTTTCCGCCAGGGACTCTCGGCAAGCTTCACTTTTCACGGCGCGTCTCACTTTTGGAAGCATTCTCTTCAGAGCTTTTGAGCTTAGAATCCGGTTTGCATTATATGAGATTGTCAGATGCGATGCAATTAGAAAATTGTAGTTACCTCGACTGCGTACTTCAGTGTCTATAGAAATGATTAATCACGAGCACCTGAAATTTTTGAGCTCATTTACAACTCCAGAATCGACAAGTGACGCGTAGAAGCACAGAATTGCCTGACTCCTGCATAAAGAGTATGACTCGCATTAGAATGTTCTAACATGGATCTTAAATCTTACTTTGAATGTTATCATTCTGCTCAATCTTTCGCCAGGCTTCACTTTTCACAGGACGAGGCGAGTCTCACTTTTGGAAGCATTCTCTTCAGAGTTCTTGAGCTTAGATTCCGGTTTTGCGAAATGCATTATCTTATCTGGAGGATTGTCTGGCAGATAGAAAATTATAGTATGAATTACTTACCTCAGATGGCCAAGACTCTTATCAGAGGTTGATCATACGGAAGCTATGGTGCAAGAAAGTCCATCAATTCGCATAGCGATTGTGAACTGGAGCTGCAAAACAAAATAGAGCCACCGCAATAAAGCACAAGAGGAGACAAACCCGTGCTTCAGTATCTTAGAAACGAGGAATCACGAGAACCTGGAAATCTTTCAGCCCACTTACAACTCTAGAATCGACATCGAAGCATGTCCCAAAGAAGTAAGTTTGTAGTGCTCATATAAGACGATCCTGTTGCCTGTTCGAGGAAATGCCATTCATGATTTCCAACTTACCCTCGAGCAGAGCACGATCGATTTAATTTCCAGCCTTTCGACCGCTAGAATTCAGCCTTCCAATCCCTTCGAACGCGTGGAATACACCGTTGAAGTGCTGGATTTTCCCTGGGCGAGATCGCACGATGGCGACGTACGCGACCTGCATTCCATCCTTGGAGCTCGGAAATGGCAATCCATGGCAGCGAGCGGCAGAAAATCCACCGGCGCCTCGCGGATCAGGAATGCTCTCTCTTGAAAACCCTAGCCCAATGGCGGCTAGTTTAAACTCTCGGCGAAAGCATTACTAAGAAGGACATAGGCGTAAGATTCTTGGGAAGAACACGAAGAAGAAGAAGATTGGGAGGAAGAATCCACGCCTATGCCTAGAACCGATTTGGCGGCGTCGCGAGCGTGGCCAAGATTGTGTCCGCCATTGCGGCAAGCCCCAAGCAAACAGCTCCACTCATAGGCACTGGCATCGAAGGGCATGGTCGCGACGAGCTCTTGCGCGTCGTCCAGATAGCCGCCCCGGCTGAGCAAGTCGATCACGCAGCAGTAGTGCTGCTTGGTGCGATCGATCTGGAAGTCCACATCCATGGATCCGAAGAAACTCCTGGCGGATTTGACACTCCCGGCGTGGCTGCAAGCGATCAGGATAGAGAGGAAGCACGCCTGATCGGGAAGAACGGCCGCCAGATTCATCCGCCAGAAGAGCTCCACTGCCGCCTGTGAGAAATCAGCGCTGGAGGAGTACCCAGCCAGCATCGCGCTCCACGAGACGGGATCGTCAACCTCGGGCATTTGATCAAAGAACTTTCGCGATTGCAGCAAATGCCCGTTCTGGGCATATGCTGATAGCAACGCATTCCTCGTCACAACGTTGTGCATGGGCATGGTATCAAACACTATCTTTGCTTCGATTAAAAGGTGGCCATGCACGTAAGACGTTAACAACGCTGTCCAAGAAATAACGTCTCTAAAAGGCATTATTAAAAAGATGTGTCTCGCCATTTCTAGATGCCCACTCCCGCCATAGCCAGATAGCATCGTGTTCCATGACACAAGGTTTCTTTCAGGCATTTGATCGAATATCCCTTCCATGGTTTCGATGGATTCCATTGTGGCGGCAAGAAATAGCAAGAGAGACCAGGACACAATATCCTTCTCGGGCATAGCACCAAACAATCGCTTTGCCCGGTCCATGTCACCAGCGTCCACGTAAGCTGCCATCAGAGCATTCCACGTAACGAGGTTCCGCCGCGGCATGCCGTCAAAGTGCCGCGCGGCCCGGCGCACGTCGCCCAGCTGCACGTACAGCGAGAGCATCGTGTTCCACGTCACAACGTCGTGCTGCAAGCCCGACAGCATGGCACGAAACGTGGCCTCGGCCTCGGTGACGTGGCGATGGTGGGCGTACGTGGCGAGCATGGAGTTCCATGTCACCAGGTTGTGGTAGGGGATGGAATCGAATAGCCGCTTGGCGCCGGCTTGATCCCCAGCCCGGGCATATGCGTCGAGCATCGAAGTCCAAGAGATCACATCGCGCTCGGGCATGGAATCGAAGGTTTTTTTAGCGTGATCGATCGATTGGATTGACAGCATGATGTTGAAGGATGTGAGGCTGTGCTGTGGCATTCTTGCGAAGATCTCTTCGGCTTCGCGGAGTTCCCCAGACCGGGCAAGTGCTGCGAGCATCGCGTTCCAGGAGAAGGAATCCCTCCGGGGCATTTGAGCAAAGATCTCTTTGATCGCGGGGAGCGATTCCATGGTGGTGTTGCTGAGAAGCCCGTTCCAGGACAAGAGATTCCACTCGGGCATCGACTGGAAGAGCGCTCGCGCTGTTGATCCGTCGGCGACCGCGAGCATCGAGTTCCAGGACGCCAGATCGTGCAGTGGCATGGAATCAAACGAGCTCCTGGCATCGTCCGAGAAGCCCAGCTCCGCGAATGCCGACACCATCTGGTTCCACGACACGAGATCTCGTTCCTCCATCGCCGCGAAGAACTCTCGCGCTTCCGCGATTGGGCGAGCCCTGATGATCGCCGCGAGGATCGCATTCCACGAGAACACATCCTTGTGGGGGATTGATGCGAACAGCTCAATCGATTCCTGGAAACAGCCACACTGTGCATACGCGGAGATCATCGAATTCATCGCGGCGGTGTCGAGCAGCGGCATCGAATCGAAAATCCCTCTCGCCGCCTCGATCTTCCGTGCGGTGGCAAAGCCCACGATCATCGTCGTGCATACGGCGACGTTCCAGCGATCCATGGAATCGAACAGCGCCTTGGCCTCCTCCAAATGCCCGTTTCGAATGTAGGCATGGAGGATCGCGCTCCAGGAGAAGAGATCCCGGATGTGAGAATCGCCCATGAGCTCGAAGATCTGGCGGGCGTGCGTGACGCTCCCGCAGCGCCCATACATCTCGACCAGCTTGTTCCACACGAATGCGCCATCGCTGGGCTTGCAGGGGATCTGCTGGTGGAGCTGGCGAGCAATCGCGAGCGAAGAGCACGATTTCACGCGCCCCAGGAATTCGGTCGTGTCCATCCATTCACTCAATCTCAAAAGTAGGGTTCTAACGTGGTCCCGCCAAGTGAAATTGGTATATTCCCGGTGTCTATGCGCAATGGAGCTTATGTGGTGATTCTATCCTAAAGCTTCTTTCTCTCTTTTTTGTGCGTGTGTGGCTATCACTGCGCTTCTTGTAGGCACAAGGACTCGCTGCAAACCATCTAGAGAGGAGCGACTCGCAATTTTCTTTTCACTTCCCAAGCTTGTCTTCGCAGATCAATTGAAAATGGCTGTAAGAGAGGCACTTTGCACAAGCGAGAAAAAACGTAGACAGCTTGTAGGCGCTCTTATCTCGGTTAAGCTGGACGAATGGTACTTCTAAGTTTGATGAAAACAGACGACAGTCTTACACTGCCAGAGACAAGAACTTGCGGTAAGCTTTCTAAACTTTTGTTTGCTCAGAGAACCTCAGCAATCACCTTATGAGCTGCACTGGACCAACAGTCAGTGTATGTTAGCATACAAACAAAGGAATTACCACTGCTTTCGTTTTCCCAGTCTTCCTCTGGACCTGTTTGTTTCAACCTGTTTGTTTCAATTGCTCGTAAGATCCAGACGATGTTCCGATCTCTCAGCTTCCACTCGTGCAGGCTGGAACACCCGTGTCTTGCAGGCAGCGATGGACAGCTTTCGCAACCTCGTAGCCTCCTGAAGAACACATTAGAAAGCTCCAAACATGTAGAGAAAGCTCCAAACACACATTGAGAAAATACCTGGAGGTCTTCTTCTTTCCACGTTAGGACATGGTTGCCTATCGATATTCGCAACATGCCCTGAACGAATTCAGCAGCCTCTGAAAGATCTACAAGGATCCAAGCTGTAGAAAACGTAAAGATATGAAAAGCGAGAGCCTACCTTATTGTTTACGTGCAGCACGCCTACAGGGAACTCCCCTTCCTTGGGCAACATACCATTACGAAACTTTATATGGAACTGCTCATTCTTCCGGTCGAAATCTCTTCCAATGACTGTGAACGCATTGCAACAACTGTGTCAAGGTATCTAGTGAATGCACAATCAATGCATCGTTCTATTGAAACGAAAAACTGTACCTTCTGTATGGAAGCTCGTCCACTCGACGAGTACGAAACCAAAAACGTCCAGGATCGAGTACTTATATTTCGATTCCGCCCAAACGAATGGATATATCCGATCCACAGGGCGTGAGTCCTTGAGCAACAGCCTTGCCGCACTCAACGCTGCCTGGAAGATATCTTCGGATCTCGTCCTGTTTTTCAGAAGACTTGTCATCCTCAAACCATGAAGACACTAACGAACACTTACTTCCATCTTGCGTTGCCTCAACAAGAGCTCTTGGAACCCAGCTCTCAGTGCGTACGGTATGAAATCCGTTCTCCACCTCTGAAACATGACAAAGCATTAGAAAGCTCAGAGCTTCCGCTCCTTGACAATGGAAAGCACACAAAGTTGGGAGATTTTACCCGGGTTCTTAAGCCTTTTCTCTGTTCTTGTGTATGAATCGTCTCCAGGGATTGACGCATACACGAACTTCTCGGTTAGAGGATCCCAGCACTTCCCATAAGATGTCACTGATCAACACGCTTGAGTTGGAATCACTCGGTGTAGATTTGAGAGATGGTCGTCTAGATCGACTCGTGTTTTGAAGCAAGCTTGAGCCTCGAAGAGCGACGAAAGGACTTCGTTGGTGATTTTCTCCATCAAACCCACAGGCTGTCATCTCGAGCGTGATCTCTGGAAAAGACTTGCTGATGCTGGAAAACTGTGCGCCTTGCATCGCAAGGAGCACACTTCACTGCTGAGCATTCTGTGCTTGAGATTCTTCTTCCACCACCTCTCCTTGAGCAGCAGCTTCCCGTGCTCGAGCGCTAAACACTAAAAACCCCTATCCCGGCCTTAAAACGAAGAACCCTAACAGAAGGGGAAAATTTAGCTAGGGTTTATGGCGGAGGAGAGAGCTTCGTCAGGTATGCATTCTTTCGTCTCGCTTTCGCTTCGATCGATCCAATCGATCGGATTCAGGGAAAGCGCTGGAGCCCGGCGCCTGGTTTGAGATCGTTGAAAGTGGAAGCGGAGTGCAATTGAGCCCTCCATTCCCCTCCGTGGCGATCCAGCGCCCTCTTTTCAAGCCTAGATCGCTGTTTTTTGCTAGGATCGGGTCGGATTCAGCAACGAGGTGAATATTTCGGCCGCATTGGATCGATTTCCAGTAAATCACTCACTTATTCCACAGGCAGGCTCCTCCGGCCGCGAAGAAGGTCGAGCATTATACGGTGTTTCGAATTGCTGGCGATGGACGATGCATGTTTAGAGCTTTGGTAAGTGATTTCTTTCTCGTTTTATTTCTTTGTATGTGTCTATCACTACCTCTCTTTTTCTCTTTTATTTGTTCTCTTTGTTTGAGTAGGCGCAAGGTCTCGCTGCAAACAAGGGAGTCCGAATGAGCGGTAAAGAGGAGAAGGAAGAGGCTGGTAAGAGCACTTTGTAATTTTCTTCTCTCCTTCAAAAGCTCGTTTCTCGCAGATCAACTGAAAATGGCTGTGCGAGAGGCACTCTGTACAAGTGAGCAAGAACGTCGACAGCATGAAGACGCTCTTATCTCAGTGACGGTGGACGAATCTCTTAAAAGGTATTGATCGAAAGCAAACAACATCCTTGCTCCAACTGGAACTGCCAGATACTGCCAGAGAATAGTGAGACAAGATTTTTGGGGAGGCGACTCGGAACTTCTGGTAAAGTTGCTAAGCTTGTGTTTGGTCAGGCAAGCTCATGGCAAGGCTGGCTTCAGGTTTTGTCACGGATGCTTGGACAACCAATTACAGTATACATTCCCGAATCCGAGGTAGCAAATATGGTTGCAAACAACTGGAGTAATGTTTCTTTTCTTTCAGCTCAAGCAGGGAGCTCGCTGGGGCACAGGCTACATTCCAATCGCGGAATATGGAAGCGAGTTCAGCAAATCGACCAAAGAGCGTAAGGGTAGAAAGCCAGTGAGGTTACTCTTCAGTGGTAGCAACCATTACGATCTTCTAATATGATCCTTAATAATTTTTGTAGTTGCTCTAGTCCCAGGTATGCTCGTTTTTTGGTAATTCACAGCTACTAAAGGCCGCATTTTTGTTGCCATGTCAAACAACGATCTTAAGAATAACTTTCTGGACAAGCATTGGGTCTAATGCGTTCTGTAAAGAGTCAACAGATGTTTACAAAGCAGGTTATTTGGGATCTTTGCTTTGTTTTATTCCTAAGCTTGCGGACGCTTTCAGGTCTTCGCTCCAGGAATTCAAGATCCAAAGTTAACCGAGGTACGAGTTAAAGACAATTCTTTTTTGGAAGTCAAGACAATCGGATTACCTCTTCATCTTTTGCCGTAGGTGGAACTCATTTTCCAGCTTTCGTGAACGCCTTCAAACGGCACAACGTTTTTTGTCAAGACATCTTTCACCACAAAGCGGCGGTGGGTTCGGTTTCATAGGTGCTTTTAGGTGGTGGTGGTCGTACCATTGCCAGCAGGGCATCACACGTGTAGTGGCACGTCACAGCTCACATGGATAGGCGCCTTGCTCCGAAGTTTAAGGCTTGTAGCGTGCTGAGCAGAAAGAGGGAGACCATTTTGTGCTGTTGCGCTGGGCTGGTTCCGTTGGATCTCAAAAAAGCATGAAGAGAAGGGAAAATGTTCCAAAACAACAGCAACAGCAGAGGATAGGAGTGTACAATGCTCGGATCAGCGGCCGAGCGTGCAACAGGGTGCCGAGCAATGCTGAAAATGTCACTGATGAGAAGAGCAACAAGTATCTCAGCATGAGCCCTCTGAAACTGGATGAAGAAGCTGCGGTTCCTGCTGGTCACAACAGCTTCCAGAGGAAAGGCCAAGCTTGGTAATTTCTTTTGTTCTTCCTCTCTCATTCCTTTCCGAGCGAGTGAGCTCTTCTCCTTCGTGGTCCCCTCGAGCTCACAAATGTCGCTTCAGGTTCGTGGCGACAGAGCTTCAGAGCGACTTGGTTGTGGAGGTCGATGATCTCAAGTTTCATCTTCACAAGGTTCGTTTCGTTGATACGCCAGTAACGTTCCTTTTTCCTACTCGCCTTTTGAATCTCCCACCGGCGAGAATTTAAGAGTTGCTGCTATTGATACTAAATACTTTCTGCTCTCTCGTTTGCAGTTTCCTCTACTTTCAAGGAGTGGTAGACTCAACCGGCTCGTGTTTGAGTCTCGTGATACCGAGACTGACGAGATTAAACTCGTAGGAGTCCCCGGCGGCCCCGAAGCATTTGAATTGGCAGCCAGATTCTGCTATGGCATGCCAATCGACCTTAACGCTTCCAACGTTGCAGCATTGCGTTGTGCGGCGGAGTATCTCGAGATGGTAGAAGAGCTCGAAGAAGGCAATCTCATTGCGAAGACTGAGGCGTTTCTGGCACTGGTAGTTCTTGCTTCGTGGAAAGACACGCTCACGGTGCTGCTGAGTTGCGAGAAACTCCATCCATGGGCAGAGGACTTGCAGATTGTGAGACGGTGCAGCGAGTCGATTGCCTGGAAGGCATGCACCGATCCAAAGGGGCTGAACAATTGGCCGACGATCACTGGCGGCAAGAAAAACGTCGTCTGTCCTTCGAGCTATATTGCGAAAGACGGGCGCAATTTGGCACTGAAGCAGGTTCCACAGGACTGGTGGTTCGAGGACGTCTCTATGCTGTGCATCGACCACTTCACTAAAGTTCTCACGGCGATCAAGGCCAAAGGAATGAAGTCGGAGCTTGTCGGAGCTGTGATAATGTGCTACGCTCTCAAGTGGATCCCGACTCTATCCAACACATGCCACGAGTCCAGCAAAACAGGCCGTGCGGTTGCTACAAGTTCTCCAGCCATAGTGACCAAGGAGGATTTCACCTGGCTGCAAGCCAGGAGTAAGCTGGTAGTGGAGAGTATGGTCGGCCTACTTCCCGGACAGAAGAACTCGGTCAGCTGCGGTTTTTTACTCCAGATGCTCCGTATAGCTAGCATGCTAAACGCGAGTGGTCCTTGCAAAGTTGAGCTGGAGAAGAGGATCGCCATACAGCTCGAGCAAGCGACACTGGGTGACTTGCTCATTCCTTCCGCTCCCCATGTTTCCGACACACGGTATGATGTCGGCCTCGTTCAAAGGCTAGTGGAATACTTTCTTGCACACGAGGAGGAAACCAGTCCGGATCGGAGCCCCGATGCCGAAACTCCGTCGAGCATAGACAAGGCAAAGTTAAGTTTCGACAACAAGAGCTCCTCCATCTCGGTTCTCAACGAGCATTCGTCCGGGAGCAAGATGAAGGTTGCCAAGCTGCTGGACAGCTACCTAGCGGAAGTTGCACACGATCCTCAGCTGCCACTGACCAAGTTCCAAGCTCTCGCCGACGCTTTACCAGTTTACTCACGAGCCTGTCACGATGGACTGTATAGAGCTATCGACATGTACCTCAAGGTTCGTAAAAGCTGCTCGGTTTGGCATTTTGCTAGAAGATACAATCTTATTGCTTTCCCTTTATCTTTTTATAATCTACAGGCACATCCGACAGCGACGGAACAGGATCGCAAGAGGCTATGCAGGATTATGGACTGTCAAAGGCTATCTTCCGAGGCTCGCTTGCATGCCTCCCAGAACGAACGTCTTCCTCTCAGGACAGTGGTTCAGGTACTCTTCAGTGAACACCTCAAGCTAAAGAACATATACGGGTATGGCTCTTTCGGTGGTGGTGGTACGCAAGTCACTCCCCCCTACTCAGAAGCTACGTGGGAAACAGCGTCCCAAGACATCAGGTCCCTGAAGAAAGACATCGAAAAGATCAAGGAGCAATTCTTAGAGCTCCGGACTGGCTACAACCACATCAAGCAGGACCTGCAGAAACTGCTCAAGCCAAGCAAGCGCAGCTCCGCGTCGTCGTCTTCGTGGGGCTGTGGGCTGAAAAGGTTGGGCTCGACGCTTGCCAGTCCCCGTTTCTTTCACTACAGTTCGAGAGATGACGGGCCATCAACTCCGGACATTTTCAAATCAAGACGTTGGAGGTAACTTTCAAGTTGCTTTTTTCCTTTCATTTTGCTTTCGTTCCAGCGAAGTAGTTTTAGCTTAGGACGCTCCTTCTACACCCCGTAGAAACGGAGCTGGAGTTTGCAAGCAGCTAGAAGAGGACACTGCTTCGACAAGCCGACCAATGATTTGTAGCGGTTGGGTTGTGTTATGGTGGCCGGGGTATACATCAGCCAGCCTGAGCAGAGGTCGGGTAGGAAATTTACTTCGACAGGGCAGTGAATCAGTGACTCTCAGTGAATTAAAAAATGGAGAGTTGGGGGGAACGGAGACATGGCTGAAGCGACTGAATGCGATGTCTCAGCACGAACATAGGACTGGCAACAGATTGATTGAGAGGGGCCTGGTTTTTCGTTTTGGAGGGAAAGAAGATCAACCGAGACCGCCATTACAGTGACACGATAGCGATGGTAATCAGACGAAGAGACGGGCAGAACAGGAAGAACAGGAATCGGGAGAGAGAATGAGATATGGTTGCTTGGTTCCCAGGACAGGAGGAAGGAAAAGGAAGGTGTCGCTCGCCAGGAATTTATCAACAATTACTCGTCGTCTGCCAGCACCACCGTCACCAGCCAGCAGCAGCAGCAGCCATCGCTCGACTCGAGCAAAGCGATAAAGCGTTTCGTGGTTCAATTCAAACTCGGAAAGGTGGACTTTTGGTGAGCATAAGTTATAACTCTTTAGAGCACTGGCTTTTCGATTAATTGGACGCTCGTGTTGGTGATTAGGTGATACCTGGTGGTGCGGTCCAAGGCTCCAAATTACAATCCAAGGCTTCAAAGTCTTGAAAAGGAACCGACAGGTGGTGGCAGCATCATGCATTGAGGATGATCCGCCAGTATTAATTGTGATACGGTGGAAGCTTTTATGGCCAAGGGAAAGGTAACAGAACTACGATGCCTGCGATGAGATCTTCCTTTCCCGTATTCATCGTCGTTACGTACACGGCCGCCAGGTGCTCAGGACTTTGATCGTACGCTGGTAAGTCCCTTGAGTTTCTCGTTTTGTTTGTTTTTGGTAAGATAGGATCAATGTCTTCCTGTTTTTTACAGAGCAAATGAATTCCTCGAGCATAACGCGACGTTTAACTTCCGGACGAGTGTATGGAGAGGGATGAAGTCCATCGTGTTGCCTGTCAACAAGCTCCAGTCGTGAAACCATGCGTAAGCTCCAGCTCCTCAAGTCGAGAACGTTGAGCTTCCATCCACAACCGATGGCCACCGCGCCTTCCTCAACTCTAGTCGAGGAGAAGCTTGAGAAATTCTCAAGCTGGATAGCCTTCTCCTCGAGCTTTGCTGCCGGTCATGTTATAAGAGCTAGTGCCCATCTCGCATATAGAACGAGCGTCCTCCATGGAGATGAGTCTTTACCATGTCTCTAGAGATTCCGGCTAGATTCCTTTTCTTTTTGTGTTGTCAATAATTTTATAGAAAGAAAAATTATTTTAAATTTACGGTAAAAAGGGATCTCTCTTTTATTTGAAGTGGGTTCTATATAATACCATCTATCGTATGATATATCATAACAAAAAGTCAATGTCAAGATTGTAAAACAATACAAACTTTTAAGAAAGATACTCAAGCTCTCTCGTAACCCTTTGTGCTGGGAATTAACTTTGGGATTTCTAGCCCTAAGTAGAAAGATGGCAAAGGCTCTGGTGATCATCTTGGTCTTGCTAGCGAGCGTGATTTATTGCTCGTCAACAAGTAGATTGGATCTCGGTGGAATTCGACAGGTTATAGACGACGTAGAAGTGGAGGATGTGGAAGGCCACCTCAAACACTTCATGCACAAGTTTGGCAACGCGAGGAGTACGTGCACCGGCTCAAGGTGTTTGAAGCGAATCTGGCACGCGCCAAGAGACTCCAGCACCAGGATCCCACTGCCATTCATGGAATCAGGACCTCACCCCAGAAGAACTCTTAGGGTTCATGGGATTCCGTAAAAGGTACTAGCGGGTTGTAAACCGGGTCCCAGCTTCGATTGGAGGGAGCATGGCGCAGTTGTGATCTTCATCGTGGACTTGAATATGGATTGTAAAACTTATTAATCGACTTAAGGAACTCGATCTTTTCACATAGAATAGGCAGAGATAGTAGTAACTTTCATGTCACAAGCACCAAAACCTCGACACAGCCGGAAATACCCATCTTCACCAAACTTATCGGCCCAAGAATTCTTCAGGGTCCAATAGGGCACACCATCCTCGGTGCCATAGCCAACAAGCAGCACTGCATGGTCCATCTCCCCAGGGCAAATGCGCACCTTGTAAGTGAATAGAAACTGTCCTTTAAGTTGCGACTGCAAAAACCACCCAATGTCAGATTTTTTCCAGAGAACAAAAGATACTCACTCGACGTTCTTCACCAGATTGGCAGCGATTTGGTCCTCGTCCTCGGACACTGTTGAGTAGTTTGCAATGGTGGCGGCCACCTTGCTTGGGCGGAAATCACACCGACCACGAACGGGTTCACAAGGTCTGAAACGTAGCCTAGTTCTTCACAAGGGTAGACTTCCTCAGATTCCAGACCCCTGGTTTTGACGCACTCGTAGGCGGGTAGTATTGCGCCACCTTCACAGCAGCCATCCTGGAAAAATGGATATGCTCAATGCGTATTCAACTCAAGTGTGAGAGGCACCCTGTAATCACAATCAATCAGTTGCTCCTTGCTCCAGCTAACAAGCTTTCCAGTCTTGAGAAAGCAGTAGTGCTAAAAGTCCAGCAAGATCCCACCGTCCCTACAAGGAATCACACTTGTTTAACAATCTATGAGCAAATCAAGAGTGATCTAAAACTCTATAATCAATCAAGTGTGGCTAAGAGGAATGCTATGGTTCTTGACAAGCACTTTTCTTTTTAACTGAGTTTTCTAATTTTTGTATTGCATAATTTTACAATATTTTTTTTCTGGTGATGTACTTACTATTTTAACTCAAAATTATTTTTTTCTTACAATCAGTAGTTCTTAGTTTTAAAATAACAGATTCTGGCCTCGGCCGCATGTTGTTTCCTAAAATATGTTCTAGTCTTTGCAAGTAAATTAACGAATGATGCTCCAGGATATTCCTTGTGAACTTTGCATACTCTAAAAAAGGTGAAGTGGGTCCAACATAAAGTCTTGAAACAGCTTGGTGTTAAAAAGGAACATTCATAGATAGGCTCAATGATTTAAAAGTTATACATGTTTTTTGACATTTTAGTAAATGAAAGATCAAGAGCTTGGTGTTAAAAAGGAATATCCAGATAGGCTCAATCATGTTTTTTGAGAACAAGTCCAGTTTAGTACATGAAGGATCATGAGCTTGGTGTAAAAAAGGAACATTCATAGATAGGTTCAATGATTTAAAAGTTACACATATTTTTTTGAGAACAAGTCCATTTGAGAACAAGTCCATTTTACTAAATGAAGGATCAAAAGCTATGTTACAGAGCTTGAGCATAAATGGTCCTGAAGTTGACAAAAGACCCTATAGCATTTACATTCTAATTCATTTTTAGTCTTCAAGAGTAGAGTTTTCTACAATATCCATCTTAAAATTAATTTAAATTTGTGAATTATATATATTTTTTATAAATGTTTTTGGAAAATTATTTTAACATTTTATATTGAATTTTAATAATGGTATTATATTATAATTTAGAATTTATGGGAAAAAACTAAGCACTCTTTACTTAACTATTAAAACTAAAACACCTACATAATAAATAAAATATATTACATTTATTTTTATTTTATTATTATTAATAATAAATTATAAGGTTCACACACACATACACACACACACATACACACACACACACACACACATATATATATATATATATATATATATATATCTCTGTGTGTGTGTGTGTATTAGGAATTATAATAATATTTATTCTGTTTAAGCCCTAATTAATATACTAAATACTCATATTGGTGGACAAAAGGGGTATTATAATTTCTTCCTGAAGGTCAAAGCTTTAAGTTGTAGATGGATCAAGCTTTTAGTGCTATGCAACATAATTATATTGGTTACTCCAATTCTTTGTGTATTGCCGTATTGAATTTCTATAAGACATGATTATATGAATTTTTCTACACTTGGTGTCCTACCAACTCTCACTAATGTGGAGTATGATTGTGATATTAAAGATAACTTTAAAGATGAATTAGAAATTTTGCAAAGTAGGTGTAAATCCTTTAATTTACCATTTGATAATTCTTATTCTCAATCCAATGTTGAGTTAAATGTTCTTTATCCTTTTCAAAATGATATAGATCTTAAGAGTGTATATGTAGCTAAAAATCTTATATTTATTTCTTTTATAGAGTTTTTGATCATTTCTTTAGAATTTGATTTTGAGTGTTCCCCTTTTCTAAGGGTCGAGTCATTTTTATCAAAGTTTTAGGTAGAGTATGTTTTCCTAAGTGGTGAGTGTCATTGAAAATCTTTGTTTTACCATCATTACTAAAGAGTTTTTATATTCTTTTGACGGTATGGACTTATTTTATTGGTTTCTTATTTAAAGTGTTGAGTTTATATGGAAGAGGTTGAGTGGTATAAGTTTTTTATTTATTTAGTGATGATCAAAGTATTTTATAAAAAATATTCTCTATTATACAAATTTTTTGAGTATTTTATAATAAGAGGTCCTTTGTTATTTAAGCTTTTAACACATGTTTTTTTCTCACTTTCTTATTTTTGCTTTAATAGCTACTAAAAAATCCTCTTTTGATGCTTCCTTATCCACTTCTATTTTTTCCACAATATTTTTTGCTCATTTTTTATTGCTTTCTCCTATTTACCTTGATGTTTCAAACATTTTTTTTTCTTCAGAGAAGGGGGTAAAGGGGATGAATAAGAGTTCAATGCTAATGTTGGAGTGAGGATGACTGGATATGTTAGTGAAGCAAATATGAATGCTATAGATTATAAATTGACAATGAGCATAATTAGTCCAAATAGGACATTAAACCTCAATATAATGAGGCCAAATGGATGTGATAATGGAGTAAGGAAAGGATAAATGTTGCAAATTTAAATAGAATTGAAGTTTCAAAAACATTTCTCCCTAGATAAAGGGATAAAGAGCATGTGGAAAACAAATGGACTGAATCCAACCTCTTATATAAGGAAGGACAAAGATTGTGAATTTTGAGTTAACATAAGTTTTAGAATTTAACAAAAGAAAATATATAAAGGTCAGTTCTAATGATAAATTTGAGTCTGAGTTAATAATAGTCTCAAAAGAAAGCTAACATGCAAACTTAAAGACATGATATATTATTTGCTACAAGAGTGTTTTGTGGATTATAATGGCTTTTGAATTGTAAAGTTATGGCTTCAAGGATGGTTTAAGTTTTTGGTAGTAGCACACAGAGTTGCAATTGATTTATTGGGATTTTGTTATCGATTGATATTTATACAATGACTTTGGGTTTTGTTTTTCTCATGGTTCTTAACAATTATATAAGTGATTTTGTAAGAACTTTAAGTTTTTGTAGTAATTTATAGTTGTCCAGTAGAAGATATAAATATTCCACTTGACCTATCATCATCATCTTTTCTATTGAGGATGGTATAAGGTATATACATATATACATACACACACACACACACACACACAGATATATATATATATATATATATATATATATATATATATATATATATATATATATATATATATATATATATCCTACCTGGATTGTGTAAATAATTAAATTTTCCATTCTACTTTAGTACTTAACCACACCTCTAACCACTTGGGAGAGTCTCATTTACAACCTTTATAAATCCTATTCCAGACTTAAGGACTTATTAGCCCCATGGATGGCATCTATGCCATTTAACTTTGCATTTGGTCCAAATACTTCACATATTCAATCTTATGATTGACACCCCAAAGGTACTACTAATATATCAGCATCCCTAAAGCCTCCCTTAGTATCAGGAGTTAGTCTCTGGGACAAGCTCGAAACTTACTAAATATGGAATGTCCTTAGATTGCGAATTTGGACACGGGACGAACACCATTGTGTTCAGGCCGATCTCTACATTCCGTAGATATGCCAAATGAGCAAATCTGGACAAATAGCATCTGGGACGAATTGAGACTAACACAAAGGGCATGATAGCGAGGGTGTTTGGCAGACACGGTAAGCTATCATCCAGCGATATTGAGGGACCAATCTCAATATGCGAGGGTTCTTGTCAAGCCAGTGCAAGACAGAGCAAAAGAGAACTAAAAAGCCGGGCCAAGTATGCTTGGCCAAATAGACACTTAGGAATTCCGTCCTTATGCTCATCCGGCCAAGTACAGATGCTAAGTCCAGTTTACTAACACTTGAACAAGAGGGGCTGATAAAGGGTCCAGCAATACCGACCTCCTGCCATCGTGGCAGTAAGGAAAGAGTGTCCGTAAGGACTGGTCGACAAGTAACTTTCGATACCCGAAGTCACAT